CCCCGACACCGGGATCGGGGTCGGGGTAGGTTGGGGGATTTAAAGCAAAAAAAAGAATTTTTCACAGCATCTTTGGGGGGGGTTTAAAGAGGGAAAATATTGGTTTTCCCAGTTGGCCCGGGGGTAGGTTTTGCCCGTTTTTGGGGAAGCCAAAAAGAAATAAATGCCTGGGGGGGGGAAGAAAAAGGCCCGGGTATCCCCTCACTTAAAAAAGGGCGGCGGCCAAGCATCCGGGGATTTTTTGGCCCCCTTTTGGGAGGCGGGAACCCTGGGGCCCAACGGTATGGGGCTCCATAAAAAAGGAAAACCCCCCCCTTTCCCTTTTCTTTTGGTTTTTCCCCCCCCCCCCCCCCCGCCCTCGCTGTCCCTTCTGGTTCATCCTTGTGCAATGCAGCCAGACAAAACCCGGCATATCACTCCGTCCCGGCGTTGTAGGGATGCGAGGTCAACGGTTTCTCTACTCCGGCATGCGTTTTACATGAGCACCCCGCCCCCCCGCCCCGTGGCATCTCTTCTCACCGGGCGGGTCTTCATCCGTGCTGTTGAGGCTTTTGTAGATCTCCATTGCGTAGTCGCTCTGCAAATTTCCCCCGCCATCGGTTCGTCCATCGATCGCATTACATAGGTCGTCAGGTTGGTTGCATGACAAAGAAATATGTTGGTCAGATTCGTTGACATGCGCAACGTTGGGCTTAAGTGGTAAGCAAAGCAGGGGAGCAGCGGTCATCCAGGGGCCAGCAACACGTCGCAGACGCAGACATCAGGGGGCTGGAAACATGCCGTAGAGGTAGATTTGAGTGCTGTCACTGGTGTCGTTACGGCTGCCGCTGCTGCTGCTGCTGCTGCTGCACAGCAATGGTGATCGCAAGCTGCAACTGCTTTGGAAGACAAACATGTCTCGGTGTTGGATGTGTAGGACAGCGCAGTGTAAGCGGTTTTCAGCACCCACGCACCTTCGAGCTTGAGACATCAACTTCTCTCTGTGACATCTTCCATGCTTATCTTTATCGCAAGTACACTGCCTCGCAAGAATGCAGTGCTGCATATAATGCAGCCAGCTCTTCTACAATAGCTCATACAGATACCCGGGGCGTAAGGTCTTCGGGCAAGGTCTTTGGGCTGCGGCTTGTGTGTTTCAGGGGTTGTGTCGAGAGATTAGTTCATCGTCTGGCCAGTGCACTCCAAGTACTTCAGTCGTCTAGTGGCGAATGTTTTCGGTTTCGGTCTCAAGTGTCGAAACATGTCCCGCAACACTCGACACCCAAACACAGCAATCTCGAGGCGCTGCCTGGCATCAAACACACTGGCAAGTACAAGCTCGTCAATTTCACACAGCGTCGAATCCGCTATTAAATACTTCGACCTCATGCGTCTTTAGACCGAAGCGCACGATGTGCATCAAACCACACGCTCTTATCCTTCAGACAACACGAGACGCATACGAGTTGTTCTCCATAGCGGATACATAGCTGCGTTCAAGGGTAACAAGTACTTGTAGGGAACCTGCAACCGGTGTGTGTGTGTGCTTCGTAGCTTGGCTCCTGGTGTGAACGTGTGAACCGTTTTCAGAGGGCACCGCCGTATGTCACCAAAATTCAAATGATTCATGACAACCCGGAAAGCACGTGTCACGCCCACTATCGTTGCGCTGCCTGTTGCACCGCGAAAAACAAGACCAATCTACTGCTGTCACGGCTGCCGAACTACTCCTCGGGTTTGTGGCCGCCTCAAAGAGCTGTGAATGCTTCGTCATGTATGCATATACCGCTGTCATTGACGCTGTCATCCACCCGGCGAAGCAGGCCTGGAAGGTATCTACAGAGGGAAGTAATAGGTGCCCTAAATATAAACACCGTCCGTGCGAAAATATTCTTCACGACTTCCTGCATAAAACAATTGCTAGCATTGCAATCATGATGCTCTTCGTGCTTGCAATCATACGACTGCTTCACTGCTGTCTTCCAACCGGTTCTGCTCTTCACGACCCACGCACCATGTTCGTCCCGTCGAGGAGGTCGAGCCGGGCCTGCGCGACCTGGTCCGCGGGGTAGATGTTCGACATCTCCACGAAGTCCAGCAGCGGAAACATCATGTGCAGATCCAAGTACTTGCTGATGGTCCGGGTTAGGTCATACTGGCTGGTGGTCCTGGAGGCCGGTACGGCCTCGACAGCTTCGCTCATGGTTCGCCCTGCTGCGGTGTGTGTGTGTCCCGTTTTCTGCTCCTCCCCTCTTCCAACTTGTGGATCACACGGCTTCCCCCCAAACACGATCAGTTCAATGTATTTCCGGACGCACGTCGGGTGGAACACAAGCGGTGATTGAGCAAGGCTGTCTGCGTGTGTGCGACTGCTGCGAGTGTGACCTCTCGCTTCGCCCTGTTCCTCTGTCTCGAGTCGAGGGCCGTACATTCAAACCTATAGCGAGGGGATGACGCAGGTATGAAACGCTGCATCATTTAGGGGGGTAGTTTTGAGTTACGGCGCTCCCGTGAAGGACGTACGTGAATGGTGCTGAGTTGTAGGCTACCTTTCTTTGCCACCCTGCTGGATCACAGGACGTCGGGGGAGGTTCCACCTGTTCTTCTTTCGACAGTGAGTGCTTTGGAAAACAGGCGGTGTGTGTGCCGTCTCTGTTGTATTCAGTGCAAGAATCAGGCTTGTCTCGGCCGTTCAATGGTGGAGAGACGTGAAGCCACACACACCTCTTTCTTCGAGAGGCTTGATCACCAGTTGCCACCCATTTTTTGAGCTGTGGCCGTGCAGCCGCCGCCTATCCCACTAGGGGAGCCGTGACGCGATGATAGCTCTATGTGTGCATGTTGGGGGTAGTGCTGTGCTTAGCTAGCCGCAATGTTTCACTGAAGGCAGCTAGTCAAAAGCCGAAGGACGATTGGCCTGCTTTGTTTGTATCTCAGTCAAGCACCCAGCAGTGGTACAGATGCTCTCATGGCTCCTGGTGAAGTATGTATGCCGCTGTGCACGGGCAAGCACCACCTCTGGTCGCGGTTTGCAGGGCTACGACCGCTAGCAAACGCTTGCAGCGTTGCTCGCCTGCTTCTCGGCTGTCTCGCAGAAGTGTTGACACTAATTGTGTTTCATGGCGGAGCCACACCAGGCGGCGTGTGAGCCATCTCACTACTGCTGTTGTCACACGAGATGCGGAGCTGGTGGTATCTACCTTTCCTTCGTCGCAGGAGCGCAGCTTGTTTTTTCGCCGTCTGTCTGAGTTGTTGTGTGTATCGTCGACCGGCTTGCCCTTCTGCTAGCGTTGCTAGATAGTGGCTGCCGTCGATTGTCAATATGTCGTATCGATCTGCGGGGAAGCCAGCCGCACACGAATTCTGATCTCGTCGCATTTATAGCGCCTCTACGGCAGTAGTGCCCTCCGAAAATAACTGGCGTGTGTTGCGATGTTGGCATTGCTGAGGCGCCCGAATGCTATGAGCAGTAGGCGTGTTGCGATGTTGGCTATATAGCAAACAAGCAGACATTGTGACGATGCGCGAGAGAAGTACTAGTGCGCGTCGCGGAACGTCTATTAATTTCGATTTCAATGAAGCAACCAACGCTACTCGCGACTGCCATGCACAAATCATCAGTTGCTGCAGTCTACACACGGCACTCACCTACAACCAGTATCGTATATATCTTGGGCGGCGATTACGCCACTCTTTGGATTTGTGCCTACGTGCCTGCACCCTGCTTCTCTGGATATTTTCATCCACCTATCCACTTACGTCCTCAAATACTTGAAACTGATGACCGCTATGCGGCCCCCGCCCCTTGTCCTCCGCCGTTCGATCGGAGTGCAGTGAAGCTCAACCCTAATGTGGCGTCTTCTCGGCGTAAGAGCCGCAAGGCGCACTTCGGAGCTCACTCCGAGGCCCGCAGGGTGCTCATGTCCGCTGGCCTCAGCAAGGACCTCTTCGAGAAGTACAACGTGAGTATCACATCATACACTTACCATCTTCTTAGACATGGTCTACACACATTGGTGGAACACTCCAGAAGAAGACTTCCGGTTCGCGATGGTTCTGCTGTACCGCAGTCGGGATGTGTTGGGAGTCTTTGCAACGAGTGGGGACCCAAGCCTTACGTACGATCGCCGATGGAAAGATACCCTTTCTCGAACATACCACAGAGCAGTATGTAGTCGACGGGATGTGTTTTCAAGTCTTTGCTGTGAGTGGGACGAAAGCCATACATGCGATTACTGCAGAAAGACACTCGTTCGCGATGATACCACAGCACAGCAGTAGTAGGCAACACATGTGTCGGGAGTCTTTGCGGTGAGTGGGGACTGGATACGGGCTTAATTTGACTTTGTAAGCCAGTACACGGAACGTTTATTTGTGTAGCAATGGTCGTTTTGTGTTGTACAGACCGACCCATCCTCTTCAAGACTTTAATTCTGGACCCTTTTCTCCCGTAAGAGAGCGAAGAAAGGAGGCAACACCCGCAGGGGTGGCTGCTACGTGAAACTGCTAGGGGGGAGCTTGGTAAACGTCACGGGGATGTTCGAGTACGATAGTGTCCCCTGTATAGGGCCGATCGACCATGTTGTAGTAAAGTCAAATGGCACCACAGGTGCAACAATGAAGTTTGGTGTCCTCTTGGGATCATACATGCAGCAGTCGGTGCTCGCTGTGTTGCCGACAATTTATCCTGTCCTAACAACCCACGGTACATGCCAGCTAGAAAACACGACGTGGGGGGGCTCCGTGTTTGCTGCACCCTTTGGTGCGAAATAAGTCTGTTTTCATGGTGCTATGCGAGACGCGGCTAAGGGTTGGTCATCCGTAGCCGCGGAATCGGAAGACGTACTGTAGTTCATCCTTTTGCCGATACCCTTCGCCGTGAAGTCTGAACAGCAGAAGTCTGAACAACAATTGTGCTTACCTCTGGCTTGTAGCGGCCGTAACGCCGCCTTGTTTGGTGTAGAAGGCGGCATGGCGTGTGTGGCGGTGGACCTGTGATGAGCAAACTTTATAAAGACTTTGATGCTGATCTTGACCTTGATGAGCAAATACAAGACTACGATGGACTGAGGCACCACCGCTCAAAGTCGATTTCTGTGTTTTACTGCTGTGGTAGCATAGCAACAGGGGAACGGCGTTGTAGGGAAGCAGTAGGCGGCCTGGTACTGATTGTTGGTGAGGTGGAGGGCTGTTCAAATGGTGGCCGATGATGAGCGAACTTTATAAAGACTTTGATGCTGATCTTGACCTTGATGAGCAAATACAAGACTACGATGGACTGAGGCACCATTGCTCGATGCCGATTTCTGTGTTTGCTGGTGTGCCATGGCCACAACAAGCGCAAGAAATATACAAAGTATGCGGCCTGGTAAAAGAATGTTGGTGTCATAAGAGGGATGTTCAAGTGGTGACCTATGATGAGCGAACTTTACAAAGACTTTGATGCTGATCTTGACCTTGATGAGCAAATACAAGACTACGATGGACTGAGGCACCATTGCTCGATGCCGATTTCTGTGTTTGCTGGTGTGCCATGGCCACAACAAGCGCAAGAAATATACAAAGTATGCGGCCTGGTAAAAGAATGTTGGTGTCATAAGAGGGATGTTCAAGTGGTGACCTATGATGAGCGAACTTTACAAAGACTTTGATGCTGATCTTGACCTTGATGAGCAAATACAAGACTAGGATAGACTGAGGCACCTTGTTGTGGTGTACATGACGATTTTAGGCGTAATTTTCGACTAAAACGTAATAGCACGGTGCGAAGGAATCCCTATGATTATCTCAGCAAAATACCAAGATCTGTTCCGAACACAAGGTGTGGAACCATCGCATTTTCAGTCTTCAATATGAAGGGCCTTCCTCGCAGTCGTGGTTGCAGTGTATGTAAGTACTTGCTTTTGTGTACCAACCCTATACATATACCTGATACCTGATGTAAGCTTGTTTTTTGGGTGCTTCGGTGGACCTGTGATTAGGGAACCATGAAGACATTGATGCTGATCTTGACCTTGATAAGCAAATGCAAGACTGCGATGGACTGAAGCAGCCTTGCAGTCGTGTAGATAACAACCTAGCAGCCTTGCATGGTACACCGAAGTACGTGTGCGTTGGAAGTATGCCGCAGCCGTGATGTTGGAACGTAAGTCTCTATAGCGTGATGCGAAGAAAGCCCTGTGATTATCTCAGCAAAATACCAAGATCTGTTCCGAACACAAGGTGTGGAACCATCGCATATTCAGTCTTCAATATGACGGGCCTTCTTCCCAATCGTACAGCAATCGCGGCTGCAGTGTGTTTGCCGCAATGATTGCTGATGTAGACACGTGTTATGTGGACTTCGGTGGGCCTGTGATGAGCGAACTTTATAAAGACTTTGATGCTGATCTTGACCTTGATGAGCAAATACAAGACTACGATGGACTGAGGCACCACCGCTCAAAGTCGATTTCTGTGTTTTACTGCTGTGGTAGCATAGCAACAGGGGAACGGCGTTGTAGGAAAGCAGTAGGCGGCCTGGTACTGATTGTTGGTGAGGTGGAGGGCTGTTCAAGTGGTGACCGATGATGAGCGAACTTTATAAAGACTTTGATGCTGATCTTGACCTTGATGAGCAAATACAAGACTACGATGGACTGAGGCACCACCGCTCATCGGGTTCTAGCACATATCTAGGTTGCCTGGCACAGACTTATGATGTTCGAGGCGACGCCCGATTTTTGAAGACTCAGCTTCTGCAAGTATCCAATGGACGTTGTTCGCCTTTGGCCCTTCTCTTGCATTGACCTCCTTCATATTCGATTCACGAAGGCCTATAAAAGTGTTTTGTTTTTTTCTCTTGTCCTTGGGAAATATTGTTTTGCCATGCTTTCATTCGCTTTTCTCGTTTCCACCTTGAAGATGGAAACTTTTCGCGAATTGACCGCTGCGAATGAGGGCAGAGGAGTGTTTGTCGCCTCTCCTATTTTCGCGCCGAAGAGTGTCTGACGGTGTCTTGTCTTTTTTTGACAGACTTTCTTCCTCTCTTGATACATGCACCCTCCACGTTGTCAGGTCCGATCCCTGCCCGTGCGGGCGGGTGACGAAGTGATGGTGGTCCGAGGGGCGTACAAGAACCGCGAGGGGAAGGTGGAGACCTGCTACCGCCGCAAGTTCGTGATCCACATCGAGCGCATCACGAGGGAGAAGGCCAACGGTGAGGCGCCTTGGCCCTTTCCTTGCTGTTGGAACTGTTGTGTGTAGCTAGCTGCAATATGTGAGACTGAGTGGAGACCAGAACGGTTTGCATTGTGAAGACCAACAACAACAACAATAACTTGTCCGGCAATAACGTGTGGTACTCTTGCTGTGGAAAGAGAGAATCGTCCTTGCCAGATTTTGAATGAAGGTTAGCTCCACACCCCCCCGCCCCCGCGATTTGCCAGCCTTTAATTTTTTTTTTGGGTAGACCAGACGAGAAGGGTTCTTTTAGGGGTAAATTGCAAAAGCCCATCCCGATCCGTTACACACACAAGACGAGCGAGTCTGAGTCTGATTTTTTGTCACCGACAACTTCCCTCGTGAACGACGACGATTGCGTCTCAGGCAACACGGTGCACGTGGGCATCCACCCTTCCAAGGTCCAGATCACCAAGATCAAGATGGACAAGGACCGCGTTGCGCTGCTGGCCCGCAAGGACCGCTCCCGCAACGGCGGCAAGCCTGCTGCCGGTGCCGCGGACGCCGACGTCAACATGGCGGGCGTGGACTAGATAAACCCCGAACCCCGGGTGCAAGAACAAAGAAAGCCTGACGTGTAGAAAACCCCAGCGGAGCAGGAGTGGATGGGGCCCCGTGCATCCGCCGCTAGGGCACTGTATGCCTGCCCCCCTTCGCGGGGGAATGATTCTTCAGTGTCTTGAATGGATGATGGCGTTGGTTAAGGGAGGGGGCTTTGGTTGCCGTCTTCTTTTTCTTGCCTGGAGTTTCTTGGGTATTCTTGTTGTTGCCCCCCTCGTCGACCTCGAGACGTGATCCAATCTCTGCAGGAAATAAAAAAAGAAAAAAACAAGAACGCCACAGGCAGACATGCGGGGACATTCGCCACGCTTCACGTGTTGTCTGCGAAAATTGCACCGCAAGGGTTTTTGACCAATCAGCAAACTGCGTGCCACTTTTCCTTTTTTTCTCCAAAGGATGGCCTCCCTGCCTGCCGCGCTTGTCTGCTGGACTTCGTCTATCACGCCACAGTGTCCTGTTGGACAATGATGGTCATGTGTCATTCGACTAGCCATCAACACGGTGGCTCGAAGCCACGCACTTGCACATGATTACAATATTACAACAGGTCGTGCGAGTTTGCGCCGTGTCTTCAATGGACGTTGCGCTTCCTTTTTGTTGGTCGTACTGTTTCGGTTGCATTCGCCATGCGTCGCGAACTTGGTGGCTTCAGCTGCTGTCTCGTAATCTCGTCCACTCACCTTCTATTTCGGTGTTTGCTCCACAAAAATCACGGCAGCATCGCACGCTGCCGCTGATGCAGTTCGTCCACTCATGCTAACGATGACATCATCGTGGGAGAGAAGTCGGCCCTGGCGTTACGCTACCCGAAAACGCTGTCATTTACGAAGTATTGTTGAAAGCAAGCCAACGAATTTCATCGGTGTTGCTAGTCCCAAGCTCGCTTTGTTTTTTTGCCCATTATTTCAGGCTTGAGAACGGAAGCGGGGACGGCCTCCTTATGTACGCATGCTTCAGCCAATGACATTTAAATAAGCGCGAAAAATGTGTAAACACTACACGAGAACGCTGTCATTGATATCCCACGACTTTCTTTTCCTTTTTTCGCCAAAAATTGATCGCCATTTTGCTTAACCCGAGGCCGGGCAACAGAGGCTGTCACAGCAACAAACACGGTAGCTCGTAGCTCACACGCCAGTTTTCACGCCAACTTTGTTGCAAACTCGATTATGGTTGTCTCAAAACTGTTTTTTCCACTAAATACGCATTTTTTTATAAGCAAGCAACAGTCCACTCCATGATGCGATTTATCAACAAGTCGGAGATTCACTGATTCAACAGAAAACCCGAAGTACATGGTACCAGACAAACCTTACATGCGCGCAACATACAGGGTTCGACGGAAAACATACCTGCCGAACCGTTTCAACATAATCGGAAGTTGTGGCCCCCAAAACAAAGTGCATCGTATCAGACAGTCGAACCCCGTAACATTCTTGACCTGCAATCCATTCCAACAATCAGCGTCAGTCGCATGTTATCGCCCTTTGTGTGCGACCCACTCCCGTAGCATCCCTAGTGTCATCGTCACCGGGGTAAACAAGACACACGCCTCCACTGCTGTAGGGCAGGTCGGCTAGGCTACCACCTTGGATACTTCCATCAGACCATGCCCAACACAACCACACTGTTCTATGCACATTGTCCCAATGGAGACTAGGCGTCCGCCACAAGTAGTTCGACGTTGGCGATGCCTAGACGTACGCGGCAAAAAAAACGGTGGTGCTTCCGACGATACTCCTATGGGAAAAAAACACAGATACAGCTTCAGATCCGGATGCACGCGCAACGAAAGGCGCAACTATGTGAAATGGAGTATGACGGAAGAGAGGTCAAGCCTGCAACACTGCGCGAAATGGATTTCGACGGAGTAGAGGTCGACCGTTACTTTTCGTCCAAACACCCAACAAACACTAGCAGCGAAATTGGATTCGCGACGAAGGGGAGACGGGAGGCGTGAGCTGCGGTTGGTTTGCCGCCCCTCACGGCAATAACGAGCCCCATTGAGAGAGGTAGTAGGTGACGACGACCATGGAGTGGTCACGCACCCCCCCAGGAGAAAGGGACGAGCCGGCTTGGCTTAGGCGTCCTCGCACGTTTCCGTCGAGCAGAAGCAGTCAGTGTCTAGGGGAGAGCCCGCCCCGTCCGCGGCAGGCTCAACGTCTCCCCACCAAGAATGCCAAATTTGGTTGCCGGCCACGATGTTCCCTGGAACATCCCCCAGAAACTTGGACATGGGAAGTTCGCTGAGAGAAAACAAGGATCAAGCACCCAGGCAGCGCGGGGGGGTGGAGTGTACTCATGTAAACGCATGCCTCAGCTGTTAAGACCATTGACCACGCGCCCCATTGTTCCCGCAGGAACGATCACCGATGGCCAGCAAGACAGAGTCAAACTGAGACCGTCGAGACTCGTGGCAGTACGTGTTTTCCCAGCCTTGCATGGTGCATCGATGGCATGCAAATGAAGGATGAACAAATGGCAAAGAGCACCGGGGGGGACCCACGTAACCACCTTCCTTTCCTCCTCAACACTTTCCCGAATTACTAAAAAAACACGAACCTATTGCAACGACTGCGGCAACAACAACAACAACACCCGTCACCGTCACTACCAGCAACAGCGCCACACAACGGCAGGTGCTTCGGCATTGCCGTACGATTGAACTGAACCCAGTGTAAAGTAGAAGTGTTGCACAATGTGAGCATGCCCACCAGAGTACACACAAGTCCACCTAAACGGCTAGAGTCGTGGTCCCGGTCAAGCGGTTCCGTGTTTAGCGGGATGCCCTGAATAGAGGTTCCACAATCTCGTGGCATGGCTGCACCTCGGTAGTCAAACCACTTCCGCAATACATAACTGCCAATCCGGTTTAGCGGCGATGCCCTCAAATCGCGGTAATAACATTTTTTGTGACACAAAAACGGGACTACACGTACTCCGATGTACCACGATTCCCCGAAGTACGTCCAGCACACCTTCTGAAAAAGTGAAGACCGCCATCGTCCGTGATGAGCCACTGGTTCGGGTCGGCGGGAGGCCCTAGCTCGTCTGCATTCCACCAATCCTCCCGGGAAATCCCTGGGCGGGGCACACATCCACGAAAGAAACTTAAAAGGCGTCACGTCGCGTGTGGTGGTGTGGTAGGCAACAAGCTTGCACTTTACGGTCGACAAGGTAAAGGGGATGCCTGAATCCCTCTGGACAGTAGTGTAATGCAGAAGGAAGGTGGAGAAGTGAGAGAAAACAAAACATCTGTCTGTGTGGCCTTCTGTCCTGCTGTGCAACTCTGAGTTGATACGCGGCAAGGTGTACAACAACTGAAGTCCACATTAAACGGGATGAAACACACGGACACACACACCAGATTCTGCTGTTGTGCGCTCAAGCGTGCATGTATTTGTACGTGCACGTGTGTGTGTAGATGAAGACTCCAACCCTCATCGCATGGCATGAAGACTTCCAACACATCCCCTCCCTCGGATAATATTCTCCACCGGGTGTTGTACAAGCATACATTGTACACAAGTGAATTTCTAGAAGAGAGTTGTCACCTTTTCTCGTACAGGAGATGCCGCCCCAAGAGCATCTGCAACAACACAATCGCTCTGCCTCTGACCGACGAAAAAAAAAAAAAATGCCGGGAGAAAAAGAGCCAGGGTGCTGAGATTGTTGCTGTCTTCCCATTAAAAAACCCGTACCGGTCTCCACTCAATACCTTCTAACGTCCATGCTGGTCGCAACTGCGACATACACCCGAAACTCACCCCAACTGCAGAAGCCCCCCCACTGAGGAATGTACGACTTTGGACTCTCCTGGTAGATAGGAATGGGGGGCAGGCGAAACAAAAGGAAGAGCGCACGAAAAAGGGTGGTCGAGGTTGAGGAGGGACGGCGGGGGACACAATAACCAACACGAAAAACGGATAAGAGAATGGCATCGACTCAGGCAGACACACGTGTTCACAGACAGGGGCCTCGCGCGCCAGAAACGGGTGGATAAACAGTCAAAATCTCAAAACTAGCTCGTGTCCAACTTCATCGGACTGCCTTCACGGGATATTTACAGGGAGGGGATACGCAGACTCTATTCCCTAACCCTAACCCTGACCCAACTTCCCCGATTGTATGCTTCATCCAACATGTTTACTTAATACAAAGATCCTGCCGAGGCTACTGACTTCATCGCCCTTGAAAACCGGGGTGAAACATCTTGACGCCAGCCAGACGGCCAGCGACGGTAGGTATTGTAGTCGTACTGTACGCCGTCATCACCCAGAGGAGGAGGCGGTTCTTTCTGCCGGGGGCACGTCATTGACACCCCCCGACAGAGAAGCCATGATGGGTATGGTATAGGCCAGTAGCCTTCCTTCGCGAGGACATTATTTAGAAACCTAAATCTTAGTAGGGGCTATGGGTTCTCGATTGAACCGCCTACGCAGGATTTTAAGAGTTACTAGAACAAGATAAGGGAGGGGGCACGCAGACCCTATCCCTAACCCTAACCCCAAAGCACGGATCGAATACTTTATCTCATACGTTTGCTTAATCAATTTTGCTGCGTAGACTACTGGTTCAATTGGGGGCTTATAGGGGTAGGGTTGGGGTCACGTAACTCTCCTCTCAATGTCACATAAAACGCATGTTATCCTCGCGAACGCGGTCCGACTAGGCAGTGCTCGGCAGCGGTGACGCGATCGGGAACGTTTCAGGGCCGCTGCTAAATTTGTCCTCTCGGTGTGCGCTCTGCTACTGCTGTTAATGCTGGCAGCTGGCAGGCCGCGGAGGGTACGGCAGGCAGCGCCCGGGAATAAAACAAAAAAATACAAAATGTGTTCCCGTTCACAAAAAGTAAAAAAAGAAACGGCACGCGTTTCGCCCGAAAACTCTCCCCACCACGGCAGCCATGACATGATCGTACGCGATCACCTTTTATCAAGCAAACCATGATGTGGCGAACAAACATGAACGCAGCAGGTGTATGCCAAGCTATCACCGTGTACCAAGCAAACCAGGACGTGACAACACGCGCACAAAACAGAGGGACCCATGCGCATATGCCACCCTGCCACCAAGCATCAAGCTGTATAAACTAACTTCGCATCCTTTCATCCCACCTCGAACATGGCCTTGTTCTCTGCACTCTCGAACCAGAATTTGTAACCGTTGTACAGGGCCTCGTGCTCCTCAACACCATACACGGCCGCAGCGCCCAGCTCCAGCGAGAAGTAACGGGTCAGGTCAGCCCCTTCCATCACCACCTTCGCAGCCGTGGCGCACTCGCTCGTGACAGGGCTCTCACCGGTCCTCACGGCGACTAGCCTCTCCAGCTGCTCCCGCTGCGGCTGCAGCTTTCTGCGGGGGAAGAGGTACCGCGCGGCGCCAGTGGAGACCCCGAACACCCCGAGCGCTACGAGCAGCGGCCGCACGAGTTTCCACGGACCGGGAGGCTGCTGGTGCTGGTGCTGGTGCTGGTGGTGAGATCGCAGGCTCTCTCTGCTGCTGCTGCCCCCCATCATCGGCCCCGACGGCACGAGGAACTCGTCCTCTCCCAGCCCCATCCCCTGTGCTGCCGTTGCAACGCGGTGGCAGAATTTAGTCTTCTTCTAGCTTCCAGCACGAGCAGCAGCGGCACCAGGCAGTGGCCGGGGGGCGGAAGAGCGGGGGTCAGGCTTGGGGTGTTTGTGGTCGTGCGGAACCGTAACACGTACCCTAATTGTGCGTGTTATCGCACCCCCGTGTTAGCGTTTTTTCTAGACTAAAGCGTATTTCTCCACGACTAGGAGGGTGCGAACACCAACTGACAGCTCTCCGGAAAGCCCTCGACGAGATGTTTCCAAAACCACCCTTATCAGGGGCGATATATACCTCCCTGGTTGTGGAGAAATACGCTATAGAAAAACGCTAACACGGGGGTGCGATAACACGCACAATTAGGGTACGTACGTGTTCGGACGGCACATTCATCCGCCTATTAGTGAAGCGAACGGTACAGGCAGTGTGACAAACTGAGACTCACAAAAGTTGGTGAATTATCTTTCAACCGGTAAAAAAAAACACTCAGTGGCGGCCTCGTGCGTTTGAACGTGGTGTGGCACTTTTTTACATCGCGAGCATGTCCTGGACAGCAGTAGTAGCTATCGACGAGAGAGATGAACTTGGTTGGTTTGCTTCAGCTATTTGTGGATGGGATTTATCAATTGAGACACGAGGTATGAGCCATTCGAGGGGTGTGGACCACCCCCCCCCCGGTAGTGGCTGTCCAGCAATACAAAACAAAACACCACTTGTCATTGTTGTGGTAACCCCGTGCTGACACGCTTTCTGGGCCCTCTCTCCTCGCCCAACCTGCCCTCGGTACTACTGCTGTGCTGTACACTGCTGTAAATTTAGCAGGCAAAAGAGATCCTTCTGACGCGTGACCTACTGCGGACAAAGAAAGAAGGAGCCAATGTATGAATACGTAGTCTATATTTAGAGGACATATACATGAAATCACAGAAAAACTATCTACCCGTTTGAGATATGCATATAACCACAGCAGCAGTCGAAAGGGATGTGTGTACAACAGCCGTAGACCAAACGCAGGTGTTACTCAAAGTGACAAAGTCATCACACACAAAAAAAGCGGCGTGATTGGCCCGCAAGCCCGCTGTGTCCCCGATGCTTCCCTTCTCTTACGCGCACGAGTCATGCTACAGACGAAAAGCCGACAACCCCGATTACCTGGGAGAGGCGTCCAGTGTGCCAAAGTACCCGCCCCCGCACCGAACTACCTGCGCCGCCGCCCAAGGCCAGCGTCTGTGCATTCGGGTGTTGGTTTATGTAGTCTTACCGTGTTTTGTACATCACTTGCTAACAGCGATATCTGTGACTTGTAGGTGCCGCAACACATGTCAGCTACCGCGTGATCCAACCCTTCCTGCTCGATTCCCTCCTCGACCCGTGTGCTCGATAGACAGCCAAATCGAACTGACGGCCATGGCTGCATGCCAAACACCTTCGCTTGGGATATCACTCGCTAGCCATTATGTAACTAGACTGCTTCGGTATGCATAATGTTTATTGTACCACACTCGGATTCTGCACCACGCCGCCACCGGTTATTTATAAAGAGAACACGTCCGCAAATCGTGTCTGAAGAAGGGGTGGGGGCACCAGCACTCACCTACGAAGGGCGTGATGCTGAAAGCTCCCACTCGTTGCCTCGCAGCAGAGAGGCCGACCGATGGAAGCGTTCCGCTGCTGTGTGGCGGCCCAAAAATATCTCGTGATGGGAGAGAGGGAGATCGAGAGACAGGGTGCGGAGCGTTGAACGAAATAAAGAGTGCAGGGAAAGAAATAGGGAAAACGACACAACAGGGTATACCCTGGTCGAAAGGCGACACACCTGGGTACACAGTCATTAACAGCAGTAAATGCATTCATATCATTGGTCAGCGCCCAATTTCACCCCGGTACGTCCGAAAAGGAGCAGGGTATACCCTGCTGTGTCTACTTTTCTCACCAACTGTACCCTGTTTTCGGAAGTGTACCCTGACCTGACGGGAAATAAGACCCATTCATCAATCATTTCCCCCGCAGGAATCTTCCCAACTCCTTTTCCTCTCCCTCTCCAACCATGGGGTACCAAACGGCGAATCTTCCCACCCAATAACAACCATGGCAACGCGGCAGGAATCAGTTTCCGCCCCTGCCAAACAACACCAACCATCAACTCTTCCGCTCTAAATCAACAATGGCCGGGCACTACCCCAGCACAGCAGTTAGTTGTTCCGTTTGGAAACATGCACACGCGTACAATACCCCGTGCACCACTGCTTGCTGCAGTCTATATGCGACATGCACGGGTCACGCTACGAAAGCGAGACCGATCTAGCATGGTTGGAGAGGAAAAGGAGTTGGGAAGATTCCTGCGGGGGAAATGATTGATGAATGGGTCTTATTTCCCGTCAGGTCAGGGTACACTTCCGAAAACAGGGTACAGTTGGTGAGAAAAGTAGACACAGCAGGGTATACCCTGCGCCTTTTCGGACGTACCGGGGTGAAATTGGGCGCTGACCAATCATATGAATGCATTTACTGCTGTTAATGACTGTGTACCCAGGTGTGTCGCTTTTCGACCAGGGTATACCCTATTGTGTCGTTTTCCCAAAGAATTTTATTGGAACTATTTGAGACCAGCATCAAAATATCAAAATATCACATTTTGTTTCCTGCGCAAACACGTCGTCACTGTGTAAATCCTGGGGAGGGGATGGAGATGACAGTCCCAAAGCGAGTTCCGTGAACCAAGCCTCTTGTGCTTGCACGCTTGCACTTTGGAAAACGGGACCGCTTGTAGATTTCAGTATGCATGTTCCCTGCTATGCATACAGCACATGCAGGAATATGATTAAGGGACTTCGGCGTACAGCAGTATAGACGAACACAGCTCAGTAGTCAGTGATATCCATGTGTGACTGATATCCATGTCTAAAGCGGATGCGGAGGAACGGAGGAACCGCTGGATGTGTAGCTATTGTAGACTGCATGTTGTCCCACTGAGTAGGTGTGTACACTTGCTGAGGTCTAAGAAGTCTCCTACCCAAAGGATGAAGAAGAGCAGACAAAATATAGCACAGAGAAGGGTGCTTTGCTGAGAGTTGTACCGTCATCCTTCTTCGCTGTGATTCACTGTAAGAACCTATTTGTTGACGATCTGTTCAGAAAAAACAAGATAAATGGTGCACCGGGGGTTTGATTCCTCCGTTGATTTTGAGGTCAGCAAAGGGGGAATGTCTACTACAGTACAAGACTAAAGGACTGGCTCTCATCTTCTTGAATGTTGGAATGTGAACGTCATCGACGAATGAATGTTGTACTTCCCAAGTAGTGTCCTTACGTACATAGCAGGGGGGGGCATCCGGGCTATACACAGGTAGGTCTGTCTGTGTGGGACGTACATGTACCTATGTACTTCATAGCTTTTTTGAAGGTCTTTCTTGTGTTCAAGTTGAGGGGGGACCGTTGAACGTGTAGTGTTTGGCGAAACGGAATCAACCTCAGTCAGTGTGGATGCTCCGGTCAGGCATTGGAGCCTAGGTCTAACAAGAGTAGTATATTTGCTTGCTTGGAGGGCGCAACAGAGAGCGGAACCCGGAGGATGGGGGTGACCACTACTGTAGTTCATTCAAAATTGCATAAAAAGCGGTGCGTGGCGGCAAGACAAAACACGCACCAACAGATGATCAATCGCCACATCATCACACACTTATTTATGTATTTCGTCTGCTGGGTGCCTCTCTCTCCCTACTTCAGCCCCACAAAAAAAATTACGTGCATACCCAGCAGGGTGAGTGACTGAAAAACTTCAAGACACTACCCAGTACGGACTCCACTTAAAATACTCCACATAATTCATTTGCATGGGACTGACCACAAGCAACGCTCCGCGCGCATCCCTTCCTCAATGCACAGCAACAAGAAGTGATTATCACCAGCTAGAGGGGTAAACGAAGAGGGAAGGAAGTCAGTCGGCATCAGGGACAAAAAAGGAGAAAAAAAACACGGCCACTGCCAACAAAACCGCGCCCCACCCCCGACGCAAAGGAATTAGACCATTCGCACGTAGACTAGGGAAAGAAACAGACCTCACTCATGACAACCAATCTTCTCCGAACAACGCTTCCAACAATCACCACACGCGCAACACATACTCCGGAGTAGTTCATGTACGACATCAGACAGACGAGTGGCTTTTCCTGAGACAAGACACAAAGCCTAGACTTGGCACGCCGGGGTCCACTCTCCTCCCAATTCAGCTGGCGTTCGCTTCACCACAATCAGGGAAGGGACAAATTCCAACGTTCTCTTCCTCTCTCTCTATTTCATCAAAGATATTTTCGGCCCTTCCACAGCCCATTCATTCGTCCTGCGGACTGCAAAAATAACACCACGCGTCAACGCACACACAGTCCCATTTCCGAAAGAGTCCTGTGACCATGCTATTCTTAGATAGAAACCACAAGCGCGTTTTTTGTAGCCCGCTACAAAAATTGCGTATTTTGATTGGTCAGGCTGCTAGCGCGGCCGACGCTAACTGAAGAGATAAACACATACATACAACCCCGCCAACTACCTGACCGTCACAAGTCAAGCGCCTGTAGATTGACTTCTGTACAGCAGTGGGTGCCATCGAAAACAACAGGCGAACAGCATCCCCAACACACCTCCATCGCAAAAAATCGAAGTCTGCGATAACGGCAGCCAGCCAGCCCCCCTCTCTCAACCCTTTCCTCTGCCATCTATATCACACTTATAGGACGCTACCGCTCTCCCTCGCCGTGGTATGCTACCTCACCTACAAAGAAGAGGGCTGCTAGGTTATACCAAATCTCCTGTGTTGTCATCCCGATATGAAGTTTACACTATGAACCTACCTGCTTGTCACTCCGCCTCACAAAATCACAAAAGACAATGGATCATTGCTAGTCTATCTTTGACTCTTTTCTTCAGTAGAGATGGATTCGTTGGGTCATACTGAGAAAAAAAGAAAAAAAAAGACTCAGACACGAAAAGAGGAATTCATGAACAGACTCGGTTGTTGCCCCGGGATTTCCTTACGTGGCTATGTACTATTCTATTCGTTCAGTGCAGTCCAGGAACCCCCCCCCCCCCAAACGTAGGAAGCAGCGGCTGCTGAAGAGCACTCAATCTTGCCGGAAATCTATATATCATGCTTTGCATACCTCCTCCAAGTTTCCTCAAAACACCGGGTACCCCCCACCCTCCAAGAAAGCAAACACAGGCAGATGATTTCTCTCTCACGCGTGAACTTGGCAAGTACACCCACCCTTTCGCCAACGCCGTAGCACGATCAATGCTTGCACCTTTCGACCTGTCCAGCCAAGCTCTCTCAACACACACCGAAGGTCAGGGTGAACCATCTCAAATGTCACGGTGAACCATCTCTTAAGCCAAGTTCCCCTAAAACACACCAAACGTCAGGGTGAACCATCTCTCAAGCCAAGCTCTCCTGACACACAACAAACGTCAGGGTGAACCATCTCTTAAGCCAAGCTCTCCTAATACACACCAAACGTCAGGGTGAACCATCTCTCAAGCCAAGCTATGTTGACACACACCAAAAGCCAGGCTGAAACGATCACTCAAGCTCCTGAAAGTCAGGGCGAAAGGAACGCTCGAGCCCTACGCCTTGAGGCGGGTGTGGGGCTTTGGCTGGTGGCTGGGCTCTGGCTCTCAGGGCTGAAAAACGCTGCCGTTGCCGTTGCCGTTGAGTGGGCGCCGTCACCCTCCCCTTCCGATGCGGTCTGCCACCCCTCTTCCCCTGCCATGGCCAAGGCCTCCTCTTCCTCTGTAACCTGGAAAGAGAGGGGGGTGTTGGTGGTGGGGGAGGGGAGACAAGTGCGATGGTAAGACAGACACACACAAATAGGTGGGGCCACGGATCATGGCCTTACCCTTAAAGAAGTAGTACATTTTCTGCTTTCAGTCCGCTGAGTTTCAGCCGCGCCGAGACGTCGGCCAGTTAGCGCGGTCGATGTTAATATGAAAAATGTTTACACATGGGTCATGGACTTCAGAAGCTATTTCTGTGTTCAGCCGCACTGAGACTGGTGTATTTTCATTGGTCAGCCGGCTAGCGCGGTCGATGCTGCTGTAGTAATAGTAACGCACACACAGGGACTTTTGGTTGCACCCGCTGGTACTGACGTCTGCTCATTGGTCAGCTGGTTACCGGAGTCGATGCTAATAACAACAAAAACACACATGCGCGGAGGCCGGGATGGACACACACACATATACACACGAAATCGGTGACACCGGGGTTGCCGTTCGAGTCATGCTTTTTGCTTGCTCGTATGAGGTGACGTACAGCGACGACTTTTTTCGCCTTGGACAGGGCACGAAGTCTCCCCGACAACTGTTAGAGAGAGAGCGGAACGTGTCTACGGCAGTATCACCATACATTTGCGGAAAACGTAGCGCAATGTTACGTCCAAGTCGCCTTTGGGGGGCACGTGCGCCGATTCCAAAATGTCCGTATGTGAATACAGAGCTGAATCGCTTGCCACTGGTACAGTAGGCGGCTCTGACAACAGAGCTGAATAGCTCGACAACGCTAGGCGGCTCTGACACCGAGTCGGGTTTTATCTGATACCAATAATTGGTCAAAAATATTAATGGAAACAAACTCACAATAAAACAAAGAGGATAATTATTAGGGAAAACGACACAGCAGGGTATACCCTGGTCGAAAAGCGACACACCTAGGTACACAGTCATTAACAGCAGTAAATGCATTCATATCATTGGTCAGCGCCCAATTTCACCCCGGTACGTCCGAAAAGGCGCAGGGTATACCCTCCTGCGTCTACTTTTCTCACCAACTGTACCCTGTTTTCGGAAGTGTACCCTGACCTGACGGGAAATGAGACCCATTCATCAATCATTTCCCCCGCAGGAATCTTCCCAACTCCTTTTCCCCTCCAACCATGGGGTACCAAACGGCGAATCTTCCCACCCAATAACAACCATGGCAACGCGGCAGGAATCAGTTTCCGCCCCTGCCAAACAACACCAACCATCAACTCTTCCGCTCTAAATCAACAATGGCCGGGCACTACCCCAGCACAGTTGTTCCGTTTGGAAACATGCACACGCGTACAATACCCCGTGCACCACTGCTTGCTGCAGTCTATATGCGACATGCACGGGTCACGCTACGAAAGCGAGACCGATCTAGCATGGTTGACTTGCATATATATGCATGTAGGTGCCCATGATGTGTGGCGCTGCGCTGAGCGGGCGGAGGAGAGAGGCAGCAACACCATACACAGACACGCCCTTGACATCAATCATGGAAGGAGGAGCGAGTGCTAACAACTCTGGCAGCAGGACTGTGTCGTCCAACTCAATCACCCTCCCTGTGCTCGCGTTGTATTTCATCGGCTCATCCCGCTGAAGCCTGACGTCTTCTTACTACATACATTGATTGGTTGGTCGGCTTGGTCGGCTGGTAAGCGCGACCGCTGCTGTTACAGCAGTAGGTCAAGCAAGAAACACATCGCAATTGAGACACAACAAACAACACACCCACGCACACACGGCACAGGCAGGAGGGAGTGGCGGCGCCCAACGTTACCCGTTAGTGCTGTGTCCATACATGCATATATATATGCATGTCAACCATGCTGGATCGGTCTCGCTTTCGTAGCGTGACCCGTGCATGTCGCATATAGACTGCAGCAAGCAGTGGTGCACGGGGTATTGTACGCGTGTGTGCATGTTTCCAAACGGAACAACTGTGCTGGGGTAGTGCCCGGCCATTGTTGATTTAGAGCGGAAGAGTTGATGGTTGGTGTTGTTTGGCAGGGGCGGAAACTGATTCCTGCCGCGTTGCCATGGTTGTTATTGGGTGGGAAGATTCGCCGTTTGGTACCCCATGGTTGGAGGGGAAAAGGAGTTGGGAAGATTCCTGCGGGGGAAATGATTGATGAATGGGTCTTATTTCCCGTCAGGTCAGGGTACACTTCCGAAAACAGGGTACAGTTGGTGAGAAAAGTAGACGCAGCAGGGTATACCCTGCGCCTTTTCGGACGTACCGGGGTGAAATTGGGCGCTGACCAATGATATGAATGCATTTACTGCTGTTAATGACTGTGTACCCAGGTGTGTCGCCTTTCGACCAGGGTATACCCTGTTGTGTCGTTTTCCCTAATTATTATTATGGGGAAGATTGAAGTGGTTCAACTCTTGCATGCAGGGGTACATTTCGGACATAAAGCTCATCGATGAAACCCTGAAGTGTTTACTTATATTTATGCAGATCTTCAACGACTCTGCTCTATGTACACACACACGCTGACGGGGGGCGTACGAACACGTTAGTATGAAGGGTCCGAGGGTAAAATCCAACGTTTTATTGGCTGCATGCACACATCAACTCACGTCATCCATCCAAGAGCTGCCATCGGACTTGATCCTGTCCAGCACCCAGTCCGCCATCATTTCACTCTCGCCTCCTTTCCATGTCACATGATCCTGCGGAACCCCCCCCCCAAAAGAAAAGACGAAAACACACAAGGTACCATGATTAGGCACGCACGCGCAGTCATCGACGTTAAGCACAGCAGTCATCGACGCTACTGGATTGAGGTCAGAACGTGTATTAACACCAACGGCAACCATCACAGCAACAGCAACAGCAACAGCAACAAAAGCAACAGCGACGACCCTTATTCATACCACAGCAAAGCCTCTCACCCTCTGTCCGAGCATGAACAGGTGGACATGTCTGCTTCGGAAGGCGTTGGCTCTAGCCCTCAGATCCGGGGGGAGATGCATCCACCCTTCGGTTCTGCGGGTTGAGTCATGAGAAAGACGGCATGGACACGATGGTTGCACAGTCAACGCCATAGCGGAAGCAATGCTTGGGAACAGGGACTCGGCTATCTATCCCCTGCGCCAACAGCACCTCGCGGGCCTACTCCCATAGCCCATAGTTTACTAGTCGAGTCCAACCCTTCTTTTCCTTTTTTTCTTCGTACATGTCGTGTCTCCCGGTGCGCTGTGAAAAAAGAAGAAAACTGTTTTCATTACCACAAATCCTTGATCATGCGAATACAAACGTGTCTCACTTTCTCCTGTATTGGTTTGCCCGTGTCTCACTGTCTCTACTCTGTCATGGGAACCCAACATTGCACCCCTTGATGCCCTGCCTTACTCGCCTCTGATCTGCCATAGGACCCAACATCGTACCCAGTGATAACCCTACTCCTACACCCAAAGAGGGGTACACCTACTCTAACAACGTGAGAGATAAAAATAAACATGGACCCAGAAGAAATCCTCCAAATGCGTCGGCATACCTCACGACCTTACGCCAGTTGCGTAGGATGAAGGTAAGGCAGCGGTGCTCGAAGGTGGGCATACCAAGG